AACACTCTGTGCAGTGTGCCTATTTATATATACACAAAATCTGTCGCCTCCATTTCCAATCACGTGAAAATCCTACTATCTATCCTACTACTATATAATCGGAACTATCGCATCGTGCGAAAATATGTTTGCATATACAAAGTTTTCATTCTCGTGCAGACATATGTCCGACCATTTGCACAGAAAATGCTTGAATCTTAAAACTTCTCCAGACACTAAGAGTCACAAGCTATATAGAGAATACATTAATTAGTATCCTTCAGATCCCAGAAACAGAGCCATAAAAATTTTCTAGCAATCCATTTTCTATCGATTTAAATTAAAATCGTTTTACTCTGGCTCGTCGTGTTATACTTCAGTGCAGGGATTATTGTGTTTACTTTCATGCAAATTCGTATGCAGTACAGTATATTATATGGCACGAGACTGTCAAGTCATCACATGCCATTGTCATTGAAAATGAACTAAATTTTCGTATACAAATAGCGGCCAGGTCGACTTCTAAAGTAATATATTTAGTATGCGGATATTTAGATACTAGATAGATAGATAAATAGATAAATAGTTTATTGAAACATCATCTTGCAGTCAAAAGACTGAATTGCATGTGTAGTTTACAAGATTATGAAATAGAGATATTAATATACAATGTCTACTATAGAATTGGCATAAAAATTTCTAAGAACGATTTAATATCATTAAAACTATATTTTAAGTATTATATTATGTAAAATTTAATGTTTAATTAAGTTTGTGTAACATTTACAGTTTTCAGAGAGAGTGTTATTTAGTGTTTTTTTCGCATAATGGATAATAAAACTGTTCTCAAAGCGGTTTGTATTTGATAGTGGGACTTCGAAGGTTCTTTCTTTTCGCAGATCTCTATTGGCTGCTTTTGATGGGAGAAGTTTGGCAAGCTTGTGGTCATCGTTTGATACAATATTATCAAAAATTTTGCAGGATAGATACTCTCGCCTATTTTCAAGGGTGGAAATACCAGCATTGATAAGAGCGTCATTATAAATAACATCCGGGTAAATTATTCTCACTGCACGCTTTTGTATATGTTCGATGCATAGATATCTTATATACACTAGATAGTGCATCTAATTATTCAACAATTCAAAAATTGAAGCCGTGATTGCAGACTCAGGATATTCCCATGAAATGAGTAGATTCGTATGTTTTCTATTTCTTAAACACAGAACTTAAATATTAAGGTAAACCTATTCCAAATACATTTTTAAACTATTCAAATGATGAAAGTTATTGTTGTTTTTTAAGCGTTTATTAGCGAGTGGGAAACACCAACATGGCCGCCATCTATTCGAATGGGGGAAACCGTTGGAATATATTCTTGACTTCAATTTTACTCAAAGAGATGCACTATCTAGTGTATATAAGATATCTATGCAGGTACGATGTCCTTGGCAAGGTATTGTGGCAAGGCGCTATTAAATAATTGACATGAATATTCTAAGACCGACCTTATGCAACTAAAATAAAAGTCGACCAAGTCCACGTTCGCCACATCAGCACGTTTAAGTTGCCGTGTTAGATACAAGCGCTTTGATGCTTTCGAAGTAACTGTATTTACATGATCCGTCCACTTCAATTTATTACTTAATGTAACTCCAAGGGATTTAATACTCGTTACCCTCTCCGTGATCGCTATTACGTATTGGCTCCTATACAGCTGGTGGTTGAGTAAAGGATAGTATCATTTCTTTACATTTAATAGGGTTGAGTTGAAAGAGATTGTTTCTAGACTAGGTAGAAATATGATCAATATCAGTTTGTAGAGCACTTTGTTCTGATTTATTGACGATTTCGGAAGCCGTGATGTCACCGGCAAATTTCCACATTAAGGAAGAGTCTTCAGGTAAGGTAAGATCATTTATCATGGCCAAAAACAGCCAGGGGCCAAGTCACGTACCATGGGGGACACCAGCTGGAACCTCTAACCAGTCGGAGAAACACTTATCGTTTAATTTCACCCTCTGCCATCTATTACGTAAAAAATCAGTGATCCTGACCAGTTCACTACACATGGTTTGAACTATATATAGTTTAGCAATCAAAAGGGTATGATCGACCAAGTCAAATGCTTTCCTGTAATCAAGAAAGACAGTCATTATAGATGCGCCAGTGACATCTGTTGCAGCATCACGTAAATTGTGCTGCACTTTAGTTTCATAGTAGCGCTTACGACAACGTTTCCGTTCACGATTGACTTTATTACGTAACAGTTTAAAGAGGGTGACATTTCCAGATGCAAATGCTTTTTGTCTCCGATTTATTAAGGATTTCAGGCTACTATTGACCCACGGTCGATCATTAGGGTAGATTTTTATTGATCGTTTCGGCATGATTAAGTTCAAACCGTGGAAAATAGGTTTTCCCAAGGAATTTCCAGAAGATATAGCGACCAAAAGTTCTTACGTTACTAGATCGTTTGTCTCTCACTTTAATGATTTTTCATTTATGCATTTTCTTCCTTATGCTGGGACACATGATAATTGGACAAGTGGTCAGATAGGCCAAAGGGAGGGGCAGTAAGAGGGGGTGAATAATATTCCGATAGATTTGTGTAGATTTGATCGGGAATGTTTGCCCCTTGGAAAGTCAATTACTGGTTTAAGCTGAAATACTTACTGTACTTAACAGTAGAACGCAAGTCCAGTTTATTAAAGTCACCAGCAATTATAACTGCAGTGCTGGGAAATGAAGACTCGATATGTTCTAGGGAAGACTGGATATAGTCTCGCATGGTTTCACTATTTGCATCAGGTGGTGGTATATAACGGCGGTTATAATATTTGACTAACCTCTTGGGAGGCGACGTGGACTTAAGGCTACCCATAATACTTCGTGGTTATCACTTTCTAACTCAATAAGACGGATATATGGAATAGTTTTTTTTATGTACAAACAAACACCTCCATGGGATTTATGTTGGCGGTCTCGCCTTCATAACCTGTAATATTGATGGCATCGTCAGGTATCGAATCTTTTAACCACGTTTCACTAAAGAACGCTACGTCTATTTTGTTTGAGATGAGGGATATAGCAATTTCATCAACTTTCGGGGCTAACGACATGGTATTAGACAGCAGTATCGAAGATACGAAATGTGCTCGTTCCATAGCTGCTTTGCATACAGATGGTTTGATTTGCATAGTTAGGTTTGTGGGGCGCATTTCTGTGGGTCTAGTTGATAATATTTCCATGTCGGGTCTGTGTGAAATTCGAACTGGGACACCATGGGTTAGTGCTTCATTTGGGATTAAGTTTATATTAGGGGAAGCCTATTCAGGAAGCGTCGCCGAAAAAAAGAATGATGATACACTGATTGGCTTCGGTTTGGGTGGGAGGGCGACGTTTTAGTTTACTAGATAAAGGATGGCATGCATCATGCGTGCTAGTTTTTCAGGGAATGAGCGAGACGTCCCGAGTTATAACATCTCATGCATGCAAATTTCGCGTTTTATACGTTCCTTACGTAAGCAATCGTATGTAAATCACCAACACACTGCCAACATTCGTGCGAATAAATTATGCCAAACGTTACCAAACGTTTACCCAATAAGAGCTCGCTATTGACGGTTGAGAATGGATCGAGTGCCGTCAGCCAATAGGGAACTGTAGTTTTGACGTTTATATATACGTGCTACGGTGCATGTTAACTATTAGTTGACCTGCGTCTAATGACGGAAGCGGACTTATATTCATTTTTGCAATGTTCTTTCGTCAAAATCCAAGATCTGATTGATTATGTTAGTGAATATTTAACAATTATTCGCCGAAGGCGAGGTGAATATCGGTGAATAAGAAACCGAGACGAAGTCGATTTAGTCGAGGTTTTTATTCATGATAATTATTGAGCCTGAGGTGAATAATTGTTTTAGTATAATTTCATATTAGGTGATTATTTGGAAAAAATAAAAAATACACATTTCTTCGTCATTTAATTGACAAAACGGCTTCGGCCGCCATTTCGAAAATTGTTTATAGGTGATTATCGCGGTATAATCACATCAACAACCAACCGGAGCAGGAGCAGTAGTTTTGACTGCCGGAGCTGACTAAAGCCTAGTTTCCATTTGGTCGTTAGTTGTCGCTGGCATGACAAGTGGCTGATGTAATAGAGTGTCAACAAAACTTTATAAAACTCTGCAATAATTAAGACTGATTTGCATGTAACACACAAAAAGACTATTATTATATTAGACTATTTCACATCTACCGCTTGTCGTGCCAGCGACAACTAACGACCAAATGGAAAGTAGGCTTAACCTCAGTTTGCACAGCTACTGCAAATTTTATTCCCGGGCCGGTATTCAGTGGCGTAACGCACATAGGGTAGGGTTAGGGCAATAACTAAGGGCCCCCGACTGTTAGGGGGCCCCGAGGGCCCCCCACCAAATTTAGATTAATACGGTCATGATTTAGATTAATGCGGTTATACGGTATTACAATAACTAAACATCGACAGTGGCAATAAACATCGACAGTGGCAACTGACATTTTATTTTATCTCAAATAAAACAAAAGTTATTCTTATTAGTTATTACATGAAGTACGTCCAAATTAAACATGCAAAACAAAATGTCAGCCATGATGGCTGGAAAGCGAAAGTACAAATCTGGGGCACAAAAAATAGCCGAAAAAATGAAAAAATTATATATCAACATTTCTTCAAATGAAAGATAATATCGACAATAATGAAGACCCCACGTCTACTAGCAGTAGCAGTAGCATCGCTGAAGTCGAAGACGATTCCTTTTTTGACAACGCCGAAAAAGATTTAAATTCCTCTATTTGCCATGAGTCCAACCATGGTGTTACTGGTGACAAAGACGAAAACTTCACTCCCTTGAAACTTTCCAGTTCTACTTCAGAAGCAAAGTTGGATAAAAATAAAGATCTGGTGTTTGATACGACAAGAAAGTTCCCAACCGACCGTGGTCATTTTAAGGAAAACATAACAGATTGTGATTTGAAAATACTGGTTCACGCATCACGAGTCATGCAGACCGACAGGACCCTTCGAAAATGAAGATGAGGAAGGGAATTCAATAGTGAATTTCAGTGCCAGATACTACAATAAGTATATTGATAATATGTCAATACAAAGACTTTGGTTATGCCATTCAATGGAACTGCAAAAACCTTATTGCGAAGTTTGTTGGTTGTTTGCTGATCGTGCATCACCAAATTATGAAAATCATAGAGGATGGATAAATGGTGTATCTGGTAGCTTGCATAATATGCTTGAAAAAATTAAGAGGCACGAAGCTTGCAACATGCATATTCAGGCAACTGCAGTCTATATGAGATGGAAATCTGGCAAGACTGTGGATAAAGATAATGAGAAAGAAATCAGAAACAATGCTCTCTTCTGGGTTAAAGTTCTTGACCGAATCATAACAATAATTTTGACTCTTGCCACGCTAACTTTGGCATTTAGAGGTCACAACGAGCACGTTCATGATAACATTTGTGAAGGTGGAAACTTTCTTGGTATGGTATATCTGATGGCTCAGTACGACGAGATTCTTGCAAAAGTTATCTCACTTCCCGCCCGTGCAACAAAGTATCTTAGCCCAAAAATTCAAAACGAGTTAATAGAACTTCTAGCAAAAACAGTCACAGTTTCTTTGGTTCACAAGATTAATGCTTCGCCATTTTGGGCTCTCATTTTAGATTCTACTAGCGATATAACTAGAATTGATCAATTAAGCGTTATAATACGGCGGGTCCAGATAGATGGGGACAATTGTAGTATTGAAGAAAACTTCTTGGGTTTTGTAAAATGAGATGATGCAACAGCGAATGGAATAGTATCAACCACAAAGGCGTTTCTGCAAAGTCTTGGTATTAACTTTTCAAAAATACGTGGACAAGGGTATGACGGCGCAAGCGTAATGAGTGGTATTCATGCTGGCGTGCAAACGTTGATTAAATGTATGGTTACTGCCCCAGTTCCTTTCGTTCATTGCGGCAGCCATAATTTGAACCTGGTAATCAACGATGCTGTCAATTCAGTTGTAGAAAATGAGAATTTCTTTGGACTATTAAGGGAACTATTTAGCTTTTTGCACCTTCGTTAAACAGATGGAGAGAACTCGGTCTTGAAGCTGAAAAAGGATCTCTTACGCTCAAGAAATTATGTACAACGCGATGAAGTTCGCGAATTGATGCTGTACGGGCCGTTCGTGACAGGTATCTACATATCATGAGAGTATTAACACGGTTGTCTTTAACATATACTAATAAAGCAGAAAGAGAAGATGCAAAACAATTGAAAAACAAAATAGATAAACTCGAATTTGTTATATTTATCGTTATGTGGGAGAGAGTTTTGCGAGCAATCAACAGCGCTTCAAAAGAGTTGCAGTCGCAAAAGATTAATCTGTCCGTCGCATCAAGGCTTTTAAACTGTGCATTGTCGGAACACGTGATCTTAAGAAGTTTTTGGAACTCAGTTCTTTTAACTGCGACAGCATTAGCCCAGTTCTGGAGTTCATCTGTAACGTTTGAGAACAAGAGGAATCGCAAAACAAAACGGTTTTTTGATGAGCTTTCTACTGATCGAAGATTAACTGATCCTGAAGAAGCTTTCAAAGTCAACGTATTTTACCAAACGGTTGACAATGCCATTATGCAACTCAAACAACGGTTTGAAGGTCAGAAAATGGTCACCAGTCTATTCAGTTGCCTTCATCCACAAAACATGTCTCAGTTAAAGTCACCTCAGCTTGAAACTGTTGCAGAAGCAATTGTAGAAGAATATCCAACTGATTTTACAGAAGAACTTGTGTCTGAATTTCGATATTTTGTCAACGAATTCAGAAAGGAAATCGCAGAGCGACAATCTGTTACGGATGTAATTCGTTTAATGCTTGAAAGCCGTGTAAGTTCCTCTTTCTCGCAAGTGTATAAACTCCTCATCCTATTTGCAACGATTCCTGTACTGTTACAGTTGCAACAGCAGAACGCTCTTTCTCTAAACTGAAGCTGATAAAGACATATCTCAGGTCTAAAATATCCCAAGAAAGGCTTTCAGGTTTAGCGATATCTTCCATCGAAAATAAAGAAGCGAAAGTTGTTGACATTAAGAACGAGCTGATCCACCGATTCGCCAATACAAATGCGAGTGTATATATATATATATATATATATATATATATATATATATATATATATATATATATATATATATATATATATATATATATATATATATATATGTATATATATATATATATATATATATATAGCATTACAGAGGTTCTAGATTTCAAAAATTTTCGGGGGAGCATGCCCCCCCGACCGACCCCCCCCTAGGAAGGTCGCGCCGTGAGACACGTACGGTGCGTTTCGTCACCAACGATGTATGACAAAAGGGCCCCCGACACAAAATATGCCTAAGGGCCCCGTGTTCCTCCGTTACGCAACTGCCGGTATTATAGGTGCACAGAAAGCTGGAGTATATAGTGCATATATGATAACTTGAAACAGTATAGTGTTTGTCCAGATTGTGTTTACCGTGCATTTTTGGTACGGCATGGGCATGGCTGTTTATGCATCCAAATGCACATTCTGTTAGTTGGGTTTCACCACGTCATGTTACGGCTATCTTTAAAACAGGGAATGGGGAATCGGGGAATCGGGGAAATCGGGATACGGGAATCGTGCTAATTTATAATACTAATTATTTTATATTTAAACTGATAAGATGGGGATATTAGTGTGCTTGTTGGAAAACGCATTTTTTAGAATAATATACAGACGATAAACAC